TTTCAATCGGGAAATTTCAACAATATTAAATGAAGAACTGAGTAAAGAACCGACAATCTGTCAAATACTGCATTTTTGTTTCCACGGATACCTATGTCAAGCAATGATTTATTTTTCAGAGGCGACTCAATTATTCAGTGAGAATTCACAGATCCTAAATTTGAAAAGATCCTTTCAAAGAAATCGGCATATTTTTCGAGCCATTTCAGATTATGGAAAACTGTTGAAATTGTTTTTTCCAACTGATCAGTAGACCACCCCATCACAATAAATTTGTACCCCAAATTGTTTTTCGAAATGTTCGGTAACAATTAAAATTTCAACTTTAGGTATTGGTTTGCATTTTCACCCTGTATAACAACATTTGTAACAAATGTTCATTTTTATTATTAAATCCTCTTATTCTCAATAAAATTTGCCATCAATCTCTGAAAATCGCGAATCGATACGATTTTTTTTTGTCGAGATATTCGATCCCAAAATTTAGTTCAAAAAATAGAATATCCACTTCATTTGTCCAGCACTATAGTTACAGTGTGTATCAGCCAAACGGAATAAATTCGATAATAAATAAATGGGGCACTTTTCGAATAAACGCTCGAACACGTCAATTTTGTTTTTTTGCTCGAGATTTTTTCACATCAATTTTTTTATACAGGGTGTTCCGAAAACGGCTGTACCGTTATCAACTTTAGTTTTTTTAACTGTAACCCCTGTATATTATGACATTTCTGGATTCTGCGGAAAATTCTAGATATATCTCATGTACAATCTCATATACCTATCTTCAACTGTTTCGGAAATATTGACAGTTGAAAATTGACTTTTTTGTATCTTGGACAGACTGTAAAACCTGAACGGTTAATTTTACAGCAAAACCGATCATACATTCTTGTCTCAGTTTTTCATAAACTATCATTTGACACTAACTTTGAATTTAATCCATGATTAAAAATTTCGCTTAAATTATTAATCTTCGGTTGAATTCCAAGTTGCTGTCAAATAATAGCTTATGAAAATCTAAAATAGAAATGTGAAATCGGTCTTGCTGTAAAATCAACCGTTAAGCTTTTACAGTCTGTCAAAAGATGCAAAAAAGTCAATTTTCAACTGTCAACAGTTGAAGATAGGTATATAACATTGTACATGAAATATGTCTAGAATTTTCCGCAGAATCCAGAAGTGTCATAATATACAGGGGTTACCATTAAAAAAACTAAAAATGATAACGGTACAGCTGCTTTCGGAACACCCTGTATAAAAAAATTAGTGTGAAAAAATCTCAAGCAAAAAAACAAAATTGACGTGTTCGAGCGTTTTTTCGAAAAGTTTCCAATTTATTTATTATCGAATTTATTCCATTTGGCTGATACACACTGTATAAATAATTGTTAAGGAAAATAATAAATGGTAAGTGAAATTTATGAATAAAAAATCTTTTAGGTTTTTAACAAATAATGTTCTACTTCACAGAACACTATGAATGTTTTGGTCAAATGGAGGGATGGTTCTTTAAATTGTGTAGACACCAGAGAATTAAAAACAAGGAAAAAAATTGATAAATTTGAAGTTGGAGCCCCTATTAAAATGCGGCATAAAACAAAATGGTATTATGGAACGATAATTACTACAGAAAAAGAGAACGAAAGCGTTTTATCAGGGACGAGCTCCAGTCACGATAATGAATGCTTATTTGAAATAGCACAAAGGATTAAAAACTATAAATTAAGTTCGAATGGCTGTGTTGAAGTTTGAGATAAAATAACACCAACCGATGCAAGCAATTTAAAAGCGCCTATTAGTAATGATATTCTAGAGACCCCTATTGTTGTTGAAGAACCTAAAACTACCAAAAATAGTTATCTAAGCAGTATTGTTACAATATCTGTACATCAGTCGGGAGAGGAAGAACCTGGAAACATTGATTTAGAATATGAAACTGATGCTTTTCCAAATATTGATCTAAATGATCAAGAAGATCACACTGTCCAAACCTGCGAAGTCTCAAGATACCAAGATGAGGTGTGGAGTTCTTGTTTTCGATGCTTAATCCTTTTGTGCTGGAATCATTTCATGGAAGACCTACCTACTTGTGATACATATCGCATCAATGACAGTGATGACTCTATGAAAAATTCGCGTAAGGAACGCAGGAATAAATACAGATAAAAAGTTAGGAAAGCCTGAAGATTTTGAAATAGAAGGTGCTCCAAGAAAATATGATCAAGAGAAAGAGAAGCCAGGATAAACAAAAAGAAAGTTGCTTAAGCTTTACGCCGCAGTGGTCAAGAATATTTTTCGGTGGATTCAAGAAAAAATGTTAAAAAGAGAGTTTTGGGTCCTAGGTGCAATACAAACTGGTGCAAAAAAGGCGGAAGACCTAGGCCGGAAAAGTGTTTCCCGTATTGTTATTCATTGAATCCTTAGCAACTATTGAAATATAATTGAAATACTAGAATATTGAGTTTTGCGACCTGTCAGCCGGTCAAAAATGCTGACATTTCTTGTCAATCGCAGAAAATAGCTATTTATATAACAAGTACATAAAGTAAGGCTTTATTGTACGAATAATTTTATGGCCGAGCGAGCTTGCGCCATCATTATAAAATCTTTGCGTATTGGAAAAAATTTTTTTTTGATAAATAAGATGGATATAAACACTCGTAGGAAAAATATTGTACCTAACTCTTGCGGAAAATGTCTTTTCCACCCTCGACGGCTTGCTCCGCTCCGCGTCGGCGTCGTTCGTGCAACTACTGTCTCATGCGAAAAGTACCACTTTCCGCATTTGCTAGGTAAATAACTATTATGCATAAAAAATCGTACGGAAAAGAAAAATAGTGCGGAAAAGTTACTTTTTCTGCGATTGACAAGAAATGCCAGCATTTTTGACCGGTTGACAGGTCGCAAAACTCAATATTCTGGTATTTCAAATATGTTTCAATAGTTGCTAAGGAATCAATGAATAACAATACAGAAAACACTTTTCCGGCCTAGGCTGGGAAAGTGATTCGCGTATTGCTGAATAATTGGAACTAAAAGACAAACATTTAACAGGTATTTAACCGATTGCAGAAAAAATAGTATGTGTATTTCGGTGGAAAAGCACATTCTCGGCCTTCGGTGTTTGCCGGCCTCGGCTACGCCTCGCCCGTCAACTTACACCGTCGGCCGAGAATGTGTCACTTTTCCACCTAAATACACAATATACTATTTCCACACTAGTGCTGAAAAGTTACTTTTCCGCACGATTTTTTTATTGTTAAAAATGAAGATATTCAGGATCAAATAAATGGTTTATGTTACTATTTTATATTATGTGCTATTTTGAATCATCATTATAAAATCTTTGCGTATTGGAAACATTTTTTTTTATAAATAAGATGGATATAAACACTCGTAGGAAAAATATTGAACCTAACTCTTGCGGAAAATGTCTTTTCCTACGAGCGTGCGCAAAGTAGTACTTTTCCGGACGCATTTCCGGGCTCAAAGTTACACTTTTCCGCACTCAGTGCGGATACAGGCCTTATCCGCACTGAGTGCCGAAAAGTAATTATAATTGTCAAGCAACAATAAGTGCACCTATCGACTTTGACACATGATGACAAATTTTTCCTCTGGTTCTATATCAGTCAACATCTATACAAACACCAAATATAAATTAACTTTGACACATTGTCAGATTTGTTCTCTATTTATATGCAAAAATCTACAAACTTTCTCATCAAATTTAAACGCTTTATAAGATGAACAGCTCTGACGAGGATTTTCTGTTATTTTTTGTTATGTAATTTTTTGATAAATGCATAGGTTCCCTTCAAGTTAATTAAAAATAATTAAACAAATTATCGTTTAATTTTTAAATTTTTGTTATTACCTACCTCATATGAAGCTCGTAGGAAAAATTTTGTTCCTAACACGTGCGCAAAGTGTCTTTTCCGCACGCAAACACGTATCCGAACTCCGCTTCGCGTCGTTCGTATAACTGTGTTTGCGTGCGGAAAAGTAACACTTTGCGCACTTGTTAGGAAAATAACTATTTCCACCCTCGACGGCTTGCCCGAACGCCGCTCGTGAGGAAAAGTACCACTTCCCGCACTTGTTAGGTAAATAACTATTGACGAAAAGACAAAATCCAAAAACGCTGTGCGGGATCTGAAAAACTCTTCCAAGATCAAATAAATTATTTTTTTCTACGAGATAAGCAATCAAAATGAAATCACTAACAATTTCAGGTGCCTATAGTGTCTTTTAAGTATCGATAACTATGAAAAAAAGGGAGGTTTTTGTACAATAGTTTTTCACGGAAGCTGCAGTGAAGGTCACCACTTTTCTATCAATTGTTCTATCGTAAAGTTATAAAAAACGAGATATTGTCCGTCGTTTTTATTCTGACACTTTCAGTATGAGCAGCGAGGGGCTGAAGCTCATGGAAAAAATAGGTGTGACGTCAGGTGACCATTGGCGTTTTACTATAGGGAGCCACCAGCTCCCATTTTTTTGGAATATCAGCTTAAAATCGACAGACTTTACGCATTTTCAACGACGAATATTTTATACCTAATACACAAGATTTGTTTGTGCACCAACCGACACTTCCTACACCAAACGTGTTTGTTTATCCGTATATTTCTCAATTTCTGTTAGTTCCCACTTCTGGAATAACTAGAGATGTGATATTATTCCAGAAGTGAACTTCTAGTTATTTGTCAAAATAGTTTTATAATACCCGCCCTTAGTCTGTCCCTGTCATTCTGTCTATTTACTTTTGAATTTGAAGTTTATATATGGTGCAGCTTGGTGTAACTTTAGTGTAGATGAACAAAGCTAGTGCTTGGTTGGTTTCGCCGAAATCTCTTATCATCATTTGTCAGTTTCTACTTGATAGACAAGTGACTAAAGCTAGTAAGTGCTAATATTTATTCAGTTTGTTTGGGTTCATCAAGCCATGTGCCCAGTATTGCTTCCGTTTGAGAGGATTTTCCATAAATTCTAAAATGCCTTGTCCCTTTCTGACCAGGATTAGCCAAAATTATGGTAAAAATTATGCCACAGTTTTGAAGCAAATGTATGGCAACCAATGCCCAATGCTATCGAGATCCACCCAGACGGATAGCAAAAGTGAAGCACAGGAAAACCTAAGAGGTGCGACTTGGAAATGCCCTTTTCTGAACGAAGTATCAGGTTCCATTAAAGAAGTGAAGCAAGAAGATATCATTGAGGTCAGTCAAGACGAGTCTGACACTCATGGAAATGAAGCGTTTGCCTATGAGCGATTCTTTCATCAGCAAATTATGGAAAAGAAAAAAGAACACGCCTACAGGATTTTTAAAAAGGTGAATCGTTCGGCTGTGCCCGGTGATTTTCCCAAAGCCTTTGAATACACTTCAGGGAAAAAATTGATTACAGTTTGGTGCTCAAATGATTATTTAGGGATGTCATGTCATCCTGCTGTTAAAAATGAAGTTAGCATCGCACTGGAAAAGTACGGTACAGGCGCTGGTGGCACTAGAAATATATGCGGCAACTCCACGCTACACGAAAAGCTTGAAACTACTCTGGCTGAACTTCATGAAAAAGACGCGGCTCTTTTGTTCACATCTTGCTTCGTAGCTAACGACACAACTCTCTTTACTCTAGCTAAAGCACTGCCAGGTTGTCATATCTTCTCTGATGCTGGCAACCATGCTTCCATGATTCAGGGAATCAGAAACAGTCAAGCACCTAAGCACATTTTTAGGCACAACGATTCTCAACACTTGGAAGAGTTGCTTCAGAAAGTGAATTATCAAGCACCCAAGATTGTCGCATTCGAGACAGTTCATTCTATGACAGGGGCAGTTTGTCCCCTAGAGGAAATATGCGACATTGCTCACAAATATGGTGCTTTAACATTTGTGGATGAAGTACACGCTGTAGGTCTTTATGGGAAACATGGTGCTGGTATTGGTGAGAAAGACCATGTGTTGCACAAAATGGATATAATATCTGGAACTCTTGGGAAAGCTTTTGGCAACCTTGGAGGATATGTTGCTGGAAACGCCAATTTAATTGACATGATCAGAAGCTATGGAGCTGGATTTATCTTTACAACCAGTTTGCCTCCAACAGTTTTGGCTGGCGCAAGGAAAGCCATTGAAATTTTAGCTTCTGATGAAGGTCGCATGTTACGCGAGAAGCATCAAGATAATGTTCAATATTTGCGAGGAAAACTCCTCATAAATGGATTTCCAGTAGAGCATACTCCCAGTCATATCATTCCTATCAAACTGGGGGATCCACTGAAATGTTCTGCTGTTAGCGATGCACTGATAAAACACAAGGGACACTATATTCAAGCTATCAATTATCCAACTGTAGCTAGAGGACAAGAGAAACTACGACTAGCTCCTACACCACATCATACCAAAGAAATGATGGACTTACTGATGACCGATTTGAAAGATGTTTGGGACGAATTTGAATTGCCTTTCACTGGCAGGCAATGTAGCAAGAAATGTCAGTTTTGTCAGAAACCGATTTTGTTTGACTACTATAGATCGAGGGACAGATGTAAAATACCAAACTGTCCTCAAATGTTTGCAGCTGCGTAGGATTTGGCGCAGATATGAAGTTTTCTCCTGTATTTTTAAATAAATATTATTATGAAAAAAATAATTTCTATTGTTATATTCTAAAAAATTTGAAACGTCGCTGTTTTTTACATCCAGATATATTTCATATGCTTACTGTAACTTTTTTTTAAATAGATATTACCAGATATTACTAAATGTTGCTCATTTTGTAATATCTGGTATGGAAATTTTAGTTGGACAACAAGTCGACTCCAGCCGACTGTTCCAGAATAGGCGTTACGTAGCAGAGCTCGATTTCATTCAGTACCCACAAAAAGGTATGCTGAACACGCCTGAAGAATTTTTCAATTCAAAAAGCTTATGCACATACTATGGAAAATGAGTTTTCAATGATCGAGGTTTGTATAGTGTAGGTATCTAGGAGATTAATCGGAGAATATTCAAGCATGATTTCGCGCATATTATATTCTTGTAGTAGTAGACATCAAAAAACTTCTAACCAAAAGCACTAGTTCATCTAATTTTCTCATTTTCTATCACCAGTAAGATACGATTTTAATATTTTCACTAATACAATCGGTAAGTCACTTTATTCTGACAAATCTGTACAATGAAGACAAATTTCAAATGAAATTGAACAGTTTGTTTATTAGAAACCCAAAGTGAAATAATCCGTTCCGTCAGTAATGTTAGGTCTGATGCCGAAGCACCAACACCGTTTGCTAGGTAAGCTTTTAATCCAAGGCAAAAATAAAACGGGAAAATAGGACCTAATAAAAGTGATACCGTCACTTACCTTAACTGAGGATATTAGGTCCTAAATTTTCCCAAAAATGTCGGATATAAAACGTTTCCCTTATTTTTCCCTATGCACGGAAACTTCAAATTGCTTTCAGGTGATCTTTGTTAACAAGAAAATATGATAATTTAAATTAGATTGATTTCAAGACTAAATAATTTCGGGATCACTAAAACTCACTTTTAGAAGCAGTCAACTTCTATTGAACAAATTGACCTTATGTAAATTCACTTGAAACATAAACAACTAAACTCTTATTAAAACTTACAACTACGCGCTTTTTATAGTCGACATCGTACTCCGAATCTATCCGGACTCCCGTCTTTATTTTAAAATAATAAATCTTTCATGGCTGGGTAAGATGTCACACATCACATGTGCTCTGTAGATCTACTTCGGCCCAGCCTTTTGAGCGATATTTTTCACTTCTCTTATCTCCTACTCATATGGATTTTCTTGGCATACCTGCAGTGTTATCCCTGAGCGTCTGACTCTCAGTCGCTTTTGTGACAAAGCAGTTAGGTAATGAATGCAAATTGCTATTCATCAAAACAATGCAATACTTGCACTTAATTCAATACTAGGTTTACAATCCTTCCCTTGGCGTGGGAATCATTGTAGCTAGAAAAGGTGGCCGAGAGCGACTCCGTGCGAATAATTCTTCTTTTTTGTAGAATGCTGGATAGGGTGTGTAATAATACCCAGTAGAGTGAGCAGTTGAGTGTAGGTTGTAACGTGCCAAAATTGCCTAACTATTTCACACTTATTTTCAGTTTTCCATTCAAAATTGCTCACATTTTTACTTTATAAAAATTTAACAATAATTCCAGTAGTTGCAGATCCTGAAAATTTTCTGATCTTTATTATTTAAATTCTATTTTCGCTTGTGACTAGTTCTTGTGACGACTAATGATTTTCCTCGATTTTAATCAATATTTTAATTCCATTTTCCAATAATAAATCTTCATGTAAACAAATCAAATATTTCTTATTCTTGGGTTAGGTTTTCCAAATAATGGTCCGTTCACGAAGTGCACGCTGCAGTCTGCACGTACTCTGTTCGGTTGCTGAACTTAGTACCAGATCGTTCATTTTTGTCAATTGGCCTTTCAATTAGTGATGTTTTTGGGATCATCGATTCCTTTCTAAAGGCCGTTTCATAGCTTGCAATTCTATCTGCAATATGCAAGGAACTTGAACGAAGGCATGCGCAGAAGTTAGTCAGCTGATTGTTTTCTGCAAGATTCTTGAAACTTGAATGGCATTGCATGCAATCGGTTTGGTGCCATTTTTCTTGAAGGTTTTCGCGCAAACGGGGGAATTTTCAGCAGTTATGATGCTTAAAGTGGCTGCTATTGCTTTCTTCTTTTTATATCGACTTATAATCACTTTTTTCACTTTTGGAGAATGCAAACATCAATAACACAACATTAAAAACAAAAAAGTATGGTTAAGGTTAGAAAGGAAACAAGTCAAATTGCAGGGTGTGAAACGACGTGCAAGAAACCTTGAATGCAATTTTTTTGCATGCAAAAATTGCATTCAAGTTTTTTTGCAAGCTGTAAAACGGCCTTAAGCGTTCACGTTTTGCAACACGAATTGCTTATTAATTGCCGTATTCTTCAAATTATGATTGTTCTTATAATTAATTACTAGTTTGTGACAAAAACTTTTTGTTATCATGAGTCGGCAACTGTTGCCATTTTTCTCTGATTATATTGTTGTTGTGCAGAGCAGTGGAGAGAGGTAAAGGTTGTATTCATTCCGAAAACCGGACGGAGCGACTACTCCGACCCAAAATCGTATCGACCCATTAGCCTCACTAGTTTCCTGCTCAAGCATCTGGAGAGGCTACTGGATCGGTATGTGAAGGAAGGCATCCTGGTTCCCGGACCTTTACACACCCAACAATACGCCTATCAGACTGGCAAATCCACAGAACTGGCCTTGCACCACCTGGTCAGGAAGGTGGAAGGAAATCTGGTGTGTGGAAGGGCTAGTCTGGCGGCATTCCTTGACATTGAAGGGGCATTTGATAATACCCCTTTCAACATCATCTGCGGTGCGCTCGAAAGGCGTGGCTTAGAGCCATGTGTGGTGAGATGGATAGAGGCCATGCTCTCGCAACGCCGAGTGTCCGCAGAGCTTAATAATGCGGTGGTTAGAGCGATGGCCGCCAGAGGCTGTCCGCAGGGCGGCGTTCTATCCCCGATTCTGTGGTGCCTGGTAGTTGACGACCTGATTACTAATCTAAACAATGCAGGCTTGTATACTCAGGCCTATGCCGACGACCTGGTTATATTTTGTCCGGGTAAGGACACCGTCTCACTGCAGGGTCCTATGGCAGGGGCTCTGCGCATAGTGAACCGATGGTGCCTTGCGGAAGGACTCAGGATAAGCCCTAATAAGGCGGAGCTCCTACTCTTCTCCAGGAGACGCAACTTCGGCACACCGCCCAACATTCCTCTGGGAGGTGTGACTCTTAAGTACTCCAGGGTGGTTAAGTATCTAGGCGTGATGCTGGATTCTAAACTGTCCTGGTATAAACACGCAGAGAACAGGATGAAAAAGGCTACCTGTGCCCTTTGGGCATGTAGACGGGCCTTTGGTTGCACCTGGGGTCTCTCACCGAAGATCCTTTACTGGATTCATAACTCTATAGTTAAACCTCTTCTCACGTACGGGGCTATCGTTTGGTGGCCTTGCACGGAGAAAGCCAAATTACGGGCGCAGCTGGACAGAGTCCAGCGCCTTTCCTGCCTCAGCATAACGGGGTCCATGCGTACGGCCCCAACAAGGGCCCTGGAGACCCTCCTAGGTCTCCCGCCTCTGGACCTCGTGATTCAGTTCGAGGCCATGAGGACAGCTTATAGATTGCACGTCCTTGACGAAATGCGCACCGGCGAAACCGGACACTCGAGAATTTGATCTCGGGCCGCAGAGAAATGTCCTGTCCTAAAATTAATAAATCTTTTTCTTTAGGGGAACACGCTACTGTCTTTCAGGCTGAAATTTTTGCTGTAATGGAGTGTGGTTTTAAACCGGCGCCACAGGAATGCAGTCGTTTCAATCTGCTCCGACAGCAGAGCCGCTATCAAAGCCATTACGGCTGACACTGTGCGCTCTAAGCTTGTAATGGAGTGCAAAAAAGTCCTGGGAAAACTGGTGAGTGCCGGCTGCCGGGTCCGCCTCGTCTGGGTACCCGGTCACTCGGGCGTCGCGGGCAACGACGAAGCTGAAATACTTGCCAGACAGGGATCGTCGATGTCACCTGTGGGCCCTGAGCCCACGCTGGGCATAGCCAAATGTGAGGCTGTCACGTCCCTCAAGGGTCTCCTCGCGGAGCGATTCCTTGGGAGATGGATGGAGGCACCTGGCATTTATTTAAACAGACAGATGGAGTCGCAATGGAAAGTCCACTCAGCCCGGTTATCGCCAACTTCTACATGAAACACTTTGAACAAATGGCACTGCGAACGGCCGCAAAGAAACCTACTTGTTGGTTTCGCTATGTAGATGACAATTTTGTTGTTTGGAACCATGAACAGGCAGAGCTCGAAAACTTCCTCAATCATCTAAACGCGATAGAACTCAGGAAGCAGTTTACGATAGAAGTTGAGAAGGACAACAAAATTCCATTCTTCGACGTCCTCTTAGAAAGATTACCCTCAGGGAAACTGGGACACAAAGTATACAGGAAGCCGACGCATATGAACAGATACCTCAACAAGGAATCCAGTCACCATCTCAGGCAAAAGAGGGGTCATTAAAACTCTATCTGACAGGGTAATCTGGATTTGTGAACCCAGATACCTTTAGGACGAGATGCAAGACCTAAAATCAGCACTTGAAAGAAATGGGTACTACAAGCAGGAGATAAATAGTGCTATAAAACAGCGCACAAATGATGAGGAACCAGCACAGTTGGCAGAGAGAGCCTTTCTTCCCTTCATCAAAAATGTCACAGATCGCATAGGAAGAACGCTAGAAAAACACAACATTAAGCCCATCTACAAGCCCACAAGAACAATTCAGCAAAGTTTAAGATCGGCCAAGGATCCTACGGTACCTCTTGAAAAGGTTAGCGTTTATAGAATTCCCTGTTCTTGTCGATCTGTCTATGTAGAAACAACCAAGCGCAACAGGGTCAAAAAGCACAAAAGAAACTGTCAGCAGGGGCAAATAGATAGATCAGCAATCGCCGAATACGTGTTAACTC